CCATCATCGTACCAAGGAAGAACGTGTTCCTCGTTCTGACCAGTTCGTTAGCTTTAATCGCAAGATGACAAACTTATCCGACTGGTTGGTACCTCATCTTCGTATTCCGGAGAACCCGGGGTCAAACCTTAGTCAGGAGACCGCAGTTCTCACTGTTTGTCTGAGTCTATCCATTCAAATACTGGCATAGCACCCTCAAATCGGCCACGGCCGCTTCCATACATATTCTCTCAAGTCATTATTCACGAATAATCCTATGATTGGACGCTGCAGTCTGTGGACAGACCGCATCTTATGTCACTGTTGGTCTGCAGAGTTACTTAATGCCCCTGGTCGCTAGGCAACAATGCTTGTCAATTGGCCGTCGTCTGCGACCGATGGTTGCTGATGTCTTTTTCCTGACTGACGAACTAAAGGCCGAGGACTGGATTGGTCTGTTAGGTCGAGGGGAGGGTTTTGATGCAGGGAGAGAAAACTGTGTTGGCCATGTGACAGGGGTAGTACAATGTATTGTCTACGATCAGCCGTGTGCATCGCAGTTTCCTTTCTTTACTTCGTTGTGAAGATCATGGACCAGCTACTAGCCTCATAATACAGTCGCTCCAATTTAGCAGAGACGCAAATGGCTGGTTAGACTTCACAGCGCTCAGATGAGGCACAGAATCTCCAGTGGATGTAACTGGTCGTCGGAATTGGAGATTCCATCGACTGGCAAATCGATAATTCTTCGCCTTTTGTGTCGGTTAGATAATAATCTGCTATTCCTGATTCTAAATAAATCCACGGAGATCGTAAAGCTAAAAGCCACTCACCTAGTTAAGAAATCCCTAATCCTTTATTGAACCCGATTATCGTACATTACCGTGTAGTACAAACAAGTAGACCTTCAATGGATTCTAACCAGGGCAAGTTGAGTCTTGTCTACACCCTACATTTTATATTATGCTCGGATCTATTCTAACCAGGGCAAGTTGAGTCTTGTCCACAATCTACATTTTATATTATGCTCGGATCTTCTAAGACGTCTTCCAAGCGACATCGTATATTCTACGTATTGACGGTGCGTTACACTACCTTGAACTTGTCTACAACCGTCTCCATCCGAATCCCTTCCTACAAGTGAAACAGCTTTGTTATGCGCATTATATTTCCCTCAGAAATATTGCTGATTCTAATCCGGAAGTCCTACCATCTTTCAATGATTTAAGCTAATTCCTTCAACCTGGCCTTCGGTGATATCACTCAGTAATCCATTTCTTCTCATAATATGTCCCAGCCAGTTAGCTTTCCTTCGTGTAATCGCCTGCAGAATGCTTCTTTGCTCGTTGACTCTCCTCAATACTTCTTCGTTGGTCACTCGATCCGTCCACCTGATCTTCTCTATTCTTCTCCAACACCACATTTCGAAACTCTCCAGGTATTTCTGTTCCTTCTTCCTGAGTGTCCAAGTCTCTGCTCCATACGTAACACTTGACTAGTTTCTTCTTCATCTCCAAGCCCAACTTGCTAGTGAGAAGTATCCTCTTCTTGACGAAAGCTGCCTTGGCCATGGCTATCCTTGCTTTTACTTCCTTGGTGCATAGGGCGTCCGTCGTGACTGTGCTTCCCAAGTACTTGAAATGCTCCACATTCTCCAGCTGTTTACCATGGATATTCATCAGAATAATTTTGTTTCGAACAAAATCCACGACTCAAAAAATACAGTTCGGCGTGGTATATCGTTAAATAACCAAAGAATCGAGTCCACTGACGGACCTAAAACTAATCTTTCTTCCGATGACTGAACGAATCGTAGAGTTTTACTCTAAGCCGTTGCACGACAAGCAGAAGTCTGCAAAGAGCCAAATCGTCTACCCACATTACATTTCTACGCCCAAATACCTTCCTTGCTTACTGCTAGCAAATCCTATCGTCTCCACACAGACCGTATTCGATTCAACCTGGATCAGCGACCAGTCATCCATTCTCCTCCGACTTCCATGACCAGAATTGAGAAGTCGGAGAGAGAAACAAAGAAACGAATGATAAAGATTTCAATAGAAAGAAGGACGTAAGAGGAATGTATAATTCAAAGTTTTCGAGTTTGGATTTTGAGGAGACAAACAAGCAAAGAATCGACTCATGTATTTGTGATTCTGTGTGTCACTGGGAACAATGTTTAACGGAGTGAGATCCTAAGAGCTCTAGAGATCGAATTTACTGAGTTGACTCGGCGTCTGCGAGAGGCTGATGTTTCGATGGTCATGTTAGTAGTAGCAGAGGAGATTTAGAGTTAAAAATGAGGGCTCAGAGTGGTAAAAAAACAAGGAAGATTCTAAAGCAGAGACTTTCGAGTATTTAACAACGCATATGTCGACCCTACAGGTCTACAGGATTCAGTGGTAAGATGACCGCGAAAGGTGAATTGAAAAATAAGTTCGGAGAAGTGGCCGTGGAGATGTTTACAGTACCAGCAGGTATACCAACATTCATCTCAAGGGCTTAAAAACGCCACGACAATTCTCAATCAGGACAGAGGATCACATAGAGGAACTTCGAACCCGAGATCTTCTTATAAGTAGTAGGGTCACTGACCAGTAGGTTCATACCGTAACGTTAGGGCACACTGGAGTCGTCCATGTAACTGGGAATGAAAATTGGTCTGTCAGTCTGACCGAAAAATTTAGATTGATACAACAACTTGTTTGAGATAAATGATGAATTCACAACACGTGGGAAATGATAAATTAATTGACAGTGGACTTAGACAGACGAGTAAATTGTAAAAGAATGTCGAAACATAACTTAGAAAAGCCATGGTGAAATGAACTAGTTTTGGATTTAGTCATATGACGGACTTCCGCAAATATAGATAGTTCTACCTCTTCAGATTACATAAGGACAGGAAAGAGGCCTTTTTTCCTCTACAGTCGTACACACTACTCCCCCCCCCTCAAAAAACATAAACCCAACCCAACTCATCAGCTAAAAGTCTTAAGAAACTTGAAGAATTTTGGCCTCAAAACACGTGAGACATTTCTTAATCTGTCTGGACATTTTGTAGGACTCCTTGGACGAGTGATCAGGCAGTTACAAGGCGCGGACAACATTTATACATCGAATGGGATTCGAACCCACGGTCTCAGTGGTCCCTGAATATAAACGATCAAGGGCCAAAGTCCCAGACCGAGCGGCCACTATGACCGATATCAAAACGATATATAACTCCCAAGAGCCCAGGATCTATCCCGTTGGCAAGCTGTTGGTTACTGGATCGGTTAGGTAGAATCAAATTGGGGTTCTACTGTGCAAAACCGGCTTATAACCGCTTCTTTGCCACCAACTTCTCGACATGTGGGCATCTGTAAATGGTCAGATTTTGTGGTTTTTCTATCGGGTAATAATTAGAAGTTCTGAGAGCCACGTGTGTTCCACGGGCCACGATTTTTACGACATCAAATGGTCTGGACGATAATTTTAAGGACACGCTAAGAGAAGGCTCTTCAGCTGCAGAAGATTTCTTCGGCAAGACTCCAAGAAAGGGCGGCGACTTTAAACAGATCTTTTGACCAATAACCGCTGTTAATTAGTCGGCATTTCTCAGACACTCGTTTCATCTCCTCAGTGTCCGTACCCGCGCGACTGCGGTTGAGAAGACCACAGGATGAAGCCAGGTTTTCGTTGAATCCCACTTTCAGAACAGACTATACGTGACTCGGGTTTCCACTTCGGTAGTAAGACGCCCATCAACACAAGCATATGCACAGTAATTTCTTAAATCCTCGACGTTTTAAAGACTTAAAAAACCTTAAAACATTAAAAATGTTTTTTTTCTTCGAATTATAGATCTGTCAATACAGATTGGTAATATCTCGATCTATCGGATCTAACATAACAAATGACTTCTCCCCTTTTTTACCTGAAAATCAAGGTCGATCTACCCTTCCAAATGTAGCAGTTTTTAGTGTTTTAATATTTTAAAACCTTTAAAAACAGGCGATGGATAAATTACAGAATGAACGAAAATAGTAACACAATTGCTAAGAAAATTCTGAGAAGAATATTAACAGATGTTCATATAAAGTTTAAAAAACCCATCAATTGTTTCAAAACTTATTGAAACGGTCAGGAAGCACGAAAATTATTGTACTAAATGTTCATTATTTTTATTATAAAATAAAGAGAGATTGGATGAAAGAAAGTAATGAATTGTCGTCAATGCAAGACGGATTACAAAGTGCAAACAAAATGAGAGGGCTGTCATACGTCAAAAATCTTCTGGCGTAGGGTAGAATTGTTCCTTGTATCCACAAACTGGATAAGGCAGGCGGAAGGTTTTTGAACTAGCCCTAGGTGAGAATCTGCTCATTCTCCTTTGAGATTATCTCTACATCTTAAAACTTTGCATGCCGTGCAAAAGAAAAATTAGCAAAGACAACATGGCAAGAAGCAATTCTATGCGATGTTCGATAGACATGAGGGATCAGCTGTCAGTTGTTTAATTTATCAACTATTCAAAAAAATAATCTTGTCTTTGCTACGAACGTGATATCTCGTGTGTTTAAATTCTATTGCTATATCTTGAAAATGGAATAAAATAATTTAGAGTTTTTCATGAATGTCGACTACAAGTTACCATAAATAAATTCTTCCGTGGTATAGGATCTTCTTGAAAAGTTGGCAATTACAGTACTTAGGTGATAAACATATAATGTTTCTACTCCAATTGAAGTCCAAAATGGTCTACAAAATACATGAAACTCTTGAAATTTGCCAAACAAAAAATTGTATTGTACACAATTTTCATCTCCTCCGACCCCCCAAAAAATCAGGTCTTGTCCATCTCGCCCCCTTAATTTATTTGGTCATTCCAAAAAGCATAATTTTCGGCGACGAAATTCTTCTGTCACAGTAAAGTGACGGCCCCTTGCGAACAAAAGAGGCAGTTGGCCTACTATCAGCTTCTGTTTCATAGAATTAGCAGTGAAGTCGCTCACCTTCGTTGCCATAGAAACACCCACCTGTGTGGTGGTCCTCTCTCTTGCGCTTCGTGATGCTGTTACCGTTCGGGTCCGGCTGCTGCTGCTGCTGAGGAATGCCCAGGATCCCGTTGATGCTGTACGCCCCGGGGCGCTGGGGGTCGTGGTGCCCCCCGGAGTGATGTGGCGGCGCTTGCACTGAAGAAGCCGGTGCGTGCGTGATCACAGACACGGAGCCAGTCTGCTGCTGCTGTGTCACCCCCGCGGCTGACTGCTGTTGCTGTTGCTGTTGGTGGTGGACATGCTTCGCCTTCTCTGCTGCCTTGTTCCGGACGATCCTGCAAAACATATTTTCGCGAGACATCAATACTCAGGCCCTTTCTGTCTCGAGGTGACCTTTCGAAGCATCTCTGACGAAGATAAACAAATTTTATACAAAGATATTTAGGCCTGAGTTTAATAAAATGGATCGCCGAGGCTTGGGATGTCATTAGGAGTTGGTTTCGAGCGTATGGAGGAAGGCGTGAATATATTAAGCTGTCCCGGACTGTCGAAAACGGATGGTCGTCCAGCTTTCGAAATTAAAAACAACGTAATTGATTTCATGTCTTTGTCAGTTTAATTATCTGCTTTACTTACTTGGCACACACCCTTCTGCTACAAAAACAGGGCAAATGAAAAATATATTAACTATTTCAATGGTTATATGAATAACGACGTTTCTATGTGTCTTTTGAAATACTGCTCCGTGTAGTCTGACGAGACATTTACAGACGTTTCAGGCTCTGTCATCAAGGCCCTAACGATGGAGACAGCAACCACTTCCGAAACGTCAGCAAACGTCTACCACAATACAAGGTGCAACATCCCAGAAGACAAGTCACCTTGCTAGCCGTCGTGAGAACCTGAAATATCACCAAGTAACATTTATTGACGATGTAAATGACTGTCTAAAAGTGCGACCCCAGTACGTGACTGAATATAACCATGACACCGATAACAGACTGAGAAAGAATTATGTTGCGATTTACTCAATTCTGCAGTCACTTCATGTTTCGGTTCCTTTTCAACCTGGCCCGCAGTCGCTATCAAGGACAAGCTCAAAGCTCAATCTGCACAGCCTCTGACTGACGGCTTAGGCAGTGAGCTCGTGTTCCTGAGACGCGGTGTACAGCCAAGCGAGCGCAACCATCCGGTCTTGAGTTTGCAAATTTCCGTGTTCATATTTCGTGTTTCTATGTTTTGCGCCGCGCAAGCAGATCCTCTGTTTGTTGTTTAGTGTTCTGTCTGACGACAGGTCCATATGAACAGGATCCTTCCATCCTTTTCTCGGACTGGGACCTGTTCATATACGTTCTTGGCAGATGATCCAGAAGTGGTTTGCCATTGCCTTCTTCTGTGTGTGAATGGAGTAATTGTTGGGATGCCACGGCGGAAAACTCCGTGTTGCCTAGACCACGGCCTTGCCCAACGCAAGTTATAAATTCGGGCACCGCCGGGAATCGAACCCGAGACCCCCAGGATTACAAGGCCAGCGTGCCACCTCCGTACGAATTAAATTGACATCTGTAATTTATTCATCTGTGTCTTTCTTCCATTAAACCATTCATACTCTTTCCTTTTTCTTTGTTTTCTCGCGTAATCTTCCTTCCTTTCATGAAAGATTTAACAATTCATTTACTTCTAATACATTTCCACACAAAAATACATAGGCCTGTGAAATTCCACTTTTCCTTCTATCCTCAGCGCCACCCAAACATCACAAACATAAGTGTCCATATTAACACGGCACCTTGTAAACTGTGACCATTTATAGACACCCCATTTGAAGAAGATCCTGACATCCGCTGAGACTCGTTCTCGGGCAAAGTAGTTCCTAACACGAAGGCCTGGTTACTTAGGAACACGACGTATGAGAATATCAACGCAACTTCAGATTACTTTGCGTATTCATAATTTTCATCCCCGCCTTCCACACGTTCACCACGGCCAGGCATGCGCACTCCACACGTGTTAGGTCACGTGACTGAGGGCGTGTTGGGTAACGCGATACCCTTATAACCCCGAGCGTCCACCCCCTTCAAAACACAGGGCGGGGGTGGGAACCCTCAATTAAGTAATGACGTGATTAATACACCCCAGGGCCAGTCAGTCGATCAATCATCAATTTCCCTAATGAATATAAAAGCACCAAAGCGACCACCAATACATATTTTGATAAATAAAAAATATTCTGCACGTGTTTTCACTGGGAGGGTGAATTTAAAAGTTACTGGCAAGCCGTGTGGCCGCGTGTTCTTCTTAGGGAGCCACGTGGCGCTTCGTTTCTAATTTCGACTCGGAGCTGGCGTCAAAGTTAGGCGCAGATTGCAAAAATGCAACCACATATGAAACTGTAGTAACACTCTTCCTATCAAAGCTTCGGGAAATTGTTTACAGCTAAACGGAATAAATTAATAACATATTCCATCGCGCAAGAAATTTCGTGAACAGCTGACGATCACATTTATCTGTTAACGTGGGTCCGTAAGATTCATCACAGACGCCACATTAGAAAACGAAACTGGACTCCGTTCTGGAACAAATGTATTCAGTCTATAATCTCATGCCCGGTTTCCTGTACTCGTAGGAACATTTTAATATTATCCTGCAATCTATATCCAGGTTACCCAAGTGATATCTTCCGTTGAGGTTTTCGTGCCGAAGATGTAACTCATTCTTCTACATATGTCTCTGGTGTGCTACATGCTCCTCCTATCTTATCCTTGTTCACCTAATTAACGTAAGAAATAATAACGAAATAGACTATTATAACTACGGCTTCATGTAACAGGAATTTAATATAAAATCATGTCACTGATTTGAACGCACCTGTTGTAACCTATATTATCTGACAATTGTAATCGCGTGTCGTAATTTAATCACGATTTCATCCACTCTAATTATCCACTTGTTCACCAATCTGTCTGTCACCTGTTGACTTCCGCTCACGTGTTGGGCACCCCTAACATCTGTCCCACCCCCACAAGCACGCACCAATGCGTGATGAAAGGCCTTAGAAACGAGGGATTTTTTTCTGAAATTAAGCTCAGAAATAAGGATTGCGTTGAAAATTCATAGGTCTAGCACATATAACCATTCAAAACTCCGAAGATCAGGGTATATAAAACATTAGTTTTGTCGGGTGTCTTGTATGGTTGTGAAACATGGTCTCTTACTTTGAGGGAAGAATGTATATTACAGGTGTTTGAAAACAGGGTGCTCAGGAGGATATTTGGACCTAGCAGGGATGAAATAATTGGGGAATTTAGAATATTGGATAAGAAGAAGAAGCTGTGTGAATTGTACGGGTCACATAGCATAGTGAGGACAGTGAAATCTAGGAGGCTCCGATGGGTTGGACATGTACCACGCACGGGGAGAAGGCAAGGGGGTGCACACACGACTTAGGCAGGGAATCCTTCTGGAAAAGACCACTGGGCAGACCAAGAAGGAGATGGAGGATAATATCAAGATGGATCTTAGGTAAGTGAGCTGTGAGGATGGCAAATGGATGGAGTTGACTCAGGGTCGTGGCAGGTGGCGGGCTTTGGTGCTGTCGGTGTTGGACCTGCGGTTTTGCTACCAGGGAGATAGTTAATACGAATAACCAAAATATTACAATACTACACATGGCCCAATACATATACAACGCAGCCTTTGCAGACATATACTGAGGCGTGTGTTCTTGGATTCCCACGAACCAGAGATTGACCCTGAAGTTCAATTATCCATCTAAATGTCTTTACTGCTATGTAATTTTATACTCGACATGTTACGTAAAATGATATATTAAAACGACAAAATAATCTGCAAGTCAGTGTAGCAAAGGAAATGATAGTTAGGCTTAATTAAGTACATAGTACGGTAAGGTAAATGTATCATGCGAAGCTGAGATTCATGATTCCATTTTAGGTTATGTAATTTCTCCATGAAA